GCTACATCTAGTGCGTGAGGGGTGGTGGCAGCGTCTTTTCGGCGTTGGCGCTTGTCTGCCCTTCGGGTTTGCTCGAAAGTATTGACACCTTCTCAAGTGGTGCTCCCACAAGCGTTATGATGTGGAGTAATTGTCTCCCAGGTGAGGGGATTGATTTGGCACCTTTTCAGGTTTGCCTTAAGACTAACTTTATAACTTTTCAGTTGCCCGCCAGCGTTACGTTTACTATTCGTTAGGTGACTGTAAAATAGCTGCTTTGGCAGTCTGCTGTTGTCCATGTAGGTAACATGGCCAGTCCAATGTAGTTGGTGTCAGTGAGAATACTGGTATTTTACTCTTGTTTTCCCAGCAAACTCAGAGGATGGAACATAGACTAAGTTGGTAAAAGTTTTCAAGTGTCATGAGGTGCTTCCTGTATGTGACCCATGTCTTGCTGCCTTATAACAGGGTGAAGAGGACCACTGCTCGATAAACGTGAAACTTTGTAGATAATTTTATCTCCCTCCAGCTGAAGACACGGGTAGAGAGTCTGCCAAAGGCTTGAGATGCACATCTGATCCGTTGTTGAATCTCGTCATCGATGTCTGCGGTGGTGGACAGGTGGGAGCCGAGAAATTGAAAGTGGGTAACATTAGAGAGGTTAGTACTGTTAAGCTGGATGGATTGTGGAGGTGTGACTGAACAACGGGCAGGCTGAAAGAGAATATGAGCCTTGCTTACATTCACCTCAAGGCTGAAGTGTGTATACGCATCTGCGTAGGTGTTCAGATTTCCTGTAGGTCCATTCAGTATGAGCGACAAGGATGAGGTCGTCTGTAAACTGAAGTTCAGTAATAGAAGCTGTGGACACCTTTGCTCCTGCCTGGAGTCGTCTTATGTTGAAAAGACCCTCCATCCGGTACTGGATGTCCACCCCGCCAGCTAAATTGGCACTGGCACATGTAAGGAAGGCAGCCAAGAAAGTGGAAAAGAGAGTTGGTGCCAGTACACATACTTGTTATACCCCGGTTTGGATGGGGAAGAACTCAGGTTGTGTGCCATTGTGCAGGACACTGCCGTTCATGTCATCGTGGAGTTGTCTCATAATGGCAATGAATTTGTGGCAGCTGAAACGGGTGAGGGTCTGCCAGAGGGCTTCCCTGTTGACCGAGTCTTAGGCCTTGGTTAGGTCGACAAAAGGCCACGTACAGGTCATGACGCTGTTCTCTGCACTTTTCTTGTATCTGGCGGGCAGCAGTGATCATGTCAGTGGTTCCATGAGATGGTCTAAAGTTATATTGAGATTCTGGGAGGAAGTTTTCCCCCTCAACAAGAAGTCTGCTATGGACAGCAGCAAGATCCCGCTGTAATTGCCACTGTCTGACCGGTCTCTCTTGTTCTTATAAATATTGACAATGGAGGCGTGTTTAAGAGTTTGGGGTTTTCCTCCATTTCCCATATAATCTCCAGGAGAGAGTGGTGATGGCTGGTAAGCAGAGATCCTCCTGCTTTATACACCTCGGCTGGGATTCCATCAGGTCTTGAGGCTTTGTTATTTTTCATCTGTTTGATGGGAGTAGCTACCTCATCCAGGGATTGAGGATAGCTGAGGTGGGTCAGCGCTGGATTGTGAGATACCTGCTGGATAGTCAGGACAACCACATTGGTGTTTCAATTGAGCAGCAAATGGTAGTGCTCTTTCCAGCGCTGAAGGATGCCGTCTTCGTCTTTGATTAAGGAGTTACCACGATGAGCGGAGGGGGGGCTGCGCCATGAGTGATTGGCCCATAAAATATTTTAGTGGAAGTGAAAAATTCGCTCATCCTATGTTGATCTGCTAGTTTTTGTGTTTCACATGCTTTATTTTTAAACCAGTCGTTCTTTAGATTGCAAAGTTCCCGTTGGACCATCTCTTTATTTTTGCGGAAGATGTCAGCTTTGGTTCGAGTCTGAGGGTTGTTCTACCAGTCAATTAAAGCAGCACGCTTTTCATTGATAAGTGCATTGATTTTCGGGGCATTTTCATCAAAGTTGCCATTTTGTATTCTTTCGACCTGCCCAAGGGTCTCTCTGCACGTTTTTGTCATGACAATGTCAAGAATACCCCATTTGGCACTGGGATTTGGGTTGTTTGTTGTCGGGATGTTTATCATCCCATGTTCGAGCTGCTCTTTGAAAGCATGTGCTACTGCTGGATCCTCCAGATGCTTAGTGTTAAAACATCTTCTGGAGGCTTGTTGCCTTCGCCGTTATGGGGCGACGTGAAGTGAGAGCTTGGTTCTGATGAGCTGATGATCAATGTTGCAGTGGTATGAGCCTTGCATGGCTCTGGTGATGAGGACACCTCAGCGATCTCTCTTCTCTGACAATAATGTAGTCAACGAGATGCCAGTGTTTGGATCGTGGGTGTTGCCATGAACCCTTGAACTTGTCGGCCTGCCTAGACAAGGTATTGGTGATGATGAGGTTGTGTGCAACCCATTTGCTGAGGAGTAGGCCATTGGGATTACACTTGCCCAGTCCATTTCTTCCTATGATTCCCTGGCAAATGTTAGCATCTCTGCCAACTCTGGCATTGAAGTCACCTCGGAGCACAACCTTATCATCTCTGGGGACAGAGGTTAGCACTCTGTAGAGGTCGGCATAAAAGGCCTCCTTGATGTCAACCTCGGCATCCAGTATTGGGGCGTTTACACTGATGAAATAGGCATGACGTGAGTGATTCAGTGGGACTATGAGAGTCATGAGGCGCTCGTTGATCCCAACAGGCATTTCAGTTAGCCTAGATTGGATGCGTTGGCCAATGGCAAAGCCATCTCCACAAATGCGGCTTCTCTTTGCAGCAGGCTTACCCTTCCAGAAGAAGGTATAACCAGACCCCCGTTCTGTGAGTCGACCCTCGTCTGGGATCTGGGACTCACTGATGGCTGCTCTGTCGATGTAAAACTATCCAGCTCTTTTGCCACAAGGGCAATTCTTCTTTCAGGACGCCCATTTGTACCAGTATCCAGAGGTGTTCTGACATTCCATGCAGCGACCATAAGAGGTTGTATAGTTTGTTTTTAATTTGATCTGAGATTATGATTGTTTTTTCGACCGCATAAGGATGACCTTACTGGGTGCGGTTCTTCAGGCAGGCTATGTTTAGGGCACCTTTTCTAGCTCCCTCCCCAAGTGGGGTGAGCAGAGTCAGTTCTCAAGAAGGCTGCTCAGTTTCATAGACAGGATCGGATTGCACTGCTGCCCAGATCTCAGTGCATAAATGACCATTTTATCTTTGCCGCCTATGTGCAGAGTTATGACTAGAAACTCCGGGCAGTCATCTCTGCCTGTCCTCGTCGCCACTCGTCCGTCGCCATCGGACTTTTGGGGGTCTAGGGGTTTTGATGATGATGAGAAGAATGGGCTGGATGATGTCTGCGCGTGAGTTGATTTATGTGGTGAGGCAGGAGCGCAGGTGCAACCACACATCTTCGCTCTCCCTTTTCTTGATCGAGGGGTGCAAGTGTTGCAACGACTGGGGAGAGGGAGAGTTACAATGGACTGCTAATAGCCCAGTTGTTGGGTTTCGACTTAGTGGCCTGTCCATCATGCCTTTGCCTTCATCCGCTGGTCTAGTCGCCAGGACGTGTCCACATGCCAGTGTTCCTTTGGACGATCCCTCTGGGGCCCACTGCGGCTCCGAAATACCCTGCTGGTCTAGCCTGGGCCCACGAGGCACCCAGTTACCGTGTGTTGGTATGAGGAGGCACAGCAAGAGTCTTGATGGTGAAAAGCACTGTGTACTGGCAGGCAAATACTTATACAAGTTGCTTCCTTGCAACTGCCTAGCTCATACTACAGACGGACAAGGGTTGACCTAATTAAGGTGTATAAATATTTTTGAGGGCGCTACTCAGTCGAGTGTCCATACCTGGAGGTGGCGGACGCCCGCCCCACAAAGGGTCACAGCTCAAGATATAAGAAGCCACAAGTCCAGAAAACTGTGAGGGCAAACTTTTTCGGAGTGGGAATTATGAACTCTTGGAACAACCTGCCAGAGAGTGTTGTGACGGTACCGAGTGTGTGCTCTTTCAAGACCAGAGTTGACCAACACTGGAGCAGGTTCAGGTACATTCAGGAGCCGGTGCATGCCAACAGTGTGTAACAGAGACGTGACCGATCACCCGAGCGGCTAACGAGCCGATCAGTGGTGAAGAGGACACAAGAAAATAAATAGAAACCAAGTGTACGCCATTACATGTACTAACAGTGTACACCATTACAAGTACAACAGTGTACACCATTACATGTACTAACAAGTGTACACCATTACATGTGCTAACAGTGTACACCATTACATGTACTAACAAGTGTACACCATTACATGTACTAACAGTGTACACCATTACATGTACTAACAAGTGTACACCATTACATGTACTAACAGTGTACCTTACATGCTAACAGTGTACACCATTACATGTACTAACAGTGTACACCATTACATGTACTAACAGTGTACACCATTACATGTACTAACAAGTGTACACCATTACAGTATTAACAGTGTACACCATTACATGTACTAACAAGTGTACACCATTACATGTACTAACAGTGTACACCATTACAAGTACTAACAGTGTACACCATTACATGTACTAACAAGTGTACACCATTACATGTACTAACAGTGTACACCATTACATGTACTAACAGTGTACACCATTACATGTACTAACAGTGTACACCATTACATGTACTAACAAGTGTACACCATTACATGTACTAACAGTGTACACCATTACGTAAACTAACAAGTGTGCACCATTATATGTACTAACAGTGTACACCATTACATGTACTAACAGTGCACACCATTACATGTACTAACAGTGTACACCTTTACATGTACTAACAGTGTACACCATTACATGTACTAACAGTGTACACCATTACATGTACTAACAGTGTACACCATTACATGTACTAACAGTGTACACCATTACATGAACTAACAATTGTGTTGTTGTTTACAGTGATGGCGACTATGGTCTCTGCTGCCAGGGTAAGTTCAGTAACCCCCAGCCAGCCTCTACAGTGATGATGAGGTGTAGGTGGTGTTAGTGGTGAAGGTAAGGATGGTGTAGGTGGTGTTAGTGGTGAAGGTAAGGATGGTGTAGGTGGTGTTAGTGGTGAAGGTAAGGATGGTGTAGGTGGTGTTAGTGGTGAAGGTAAGGATGGTGTAGGTGGTGTTAGTGGTGAAGGTAAGGATGGTGTAGGTGGTGTTAGTGGTGAAGGTAAGGATGGTGTAGGTGGTGTTAGTGGTAGGTAAGGATGGTGTAGGTGGTGTTAGTGGTGAGGTAAGGATGGTGTAGGTGGTGTTAGTGGTGAATGGGTTAGGATGGTAGGTGGTGTTAGTGGTGAAGGTAAGGATGGTGTAGGAGGTAAAAATAAGGATGGAGTAGATGGTAAGGTAAGGATGGTGTAGGTGGTGTTAGTGGTGAAGGCAAGGATGTAGGTGGTGTTTGTGGTGAAGGTAAGGATGGTGTAGGTGGTGTTAGAGGTAAGGATGGTGAGTGGTGTAGGTGGTGTTAGTGGTGAAGGTGGTGTAGGTAAGGATGGTGTGAGCTGGTGAAGGTAAGGGTGGAGTAGGTGTAGGTGGTGTTAGTAGAAGTAAGGATGGTGTAGTTGGTGAAGATAAGGATGGTGTAGTGGTGTAGGTGGTGTAGGTGATGTAGGTAGTAGGTAAGGATGGTGTAGGTGGTGTAGGTGGTGAAGATAAGGATGGCGTAGGTGGTGTAGGTAAGGATGGTGTAGGTGATGGAAGTAGGGATGGTGTACGTGGTGTAGGTAAGGATGGTGTAGGTGGTGCAGGTAAGGATGGTGTAGGTGGTGTAGGTAAGGTTGGTGTAGGTGGTGTAGGTAAGAGTAGTGTCGTGGTGTAGGTGGTGTTAGTGGTGAAGGTAAGAATGGTGTAGTGGTGTAGGTGGTGTAGGTATGGATAGATTTGGTGGTGTAGGTAAGGATGGTGTAGGTGGTGTAGGTAAGGATGGTGTAGGTGGTGTAGGTAAGGATGGTTTAGGTAGTGTAGGTGGTGCAGGTAAGGATGTTTTAGCTGTGGTATGATATCGAACTATCTCACTTGTTAACACTTGCCTGAACGAGTGTAGGTTAGTCGCTGGTACCTTTGATGCAGCTGAGTGAGATATCAGGTAATCTCACGGCGTGTCACCTTTGATACAGTCGTAGATTGGTTGATAGTTGAAATCGTCACAGCTGTCCTGGGTTGTACTTGTATTTTCTTAGCTTGTAAGTTAAACACGACACACAGGTACTGTTCTCTTCACACGTTGTTCCTTGGTTTAATGTAAACACACGTGGTGATTTTCTAGTTATATTGGGTAGTCATGTCTGTACAATTATTTGGTATGACAGACTAATAAGCATTAGCTATTAGCTTGTAGTTAGCTGATATATTTAGAGGGATGCACAGCCTGGAGAGCTGGTCTCTCGACACTACTTTAAGGCATCGTGCCGGGCTGTGAACTGGGGGAACTGGGCTGTACTCTCTTGAGTCTGGTGCCTGGAGAGTAACCAATCCTTCAACACAGACATTATCTAAACAGCCAACTCACACACGGAGGGTTGAGTCTGTAGATTTATGGGCTGTACACCCGAGAAGGTGTGCATGAACAAATGTTTATGGGTTATCCACCCTAGGATTTGTGACAGAACAAATGCTTATGTAGCTATATGCTCAAGAGTCTGGGTGATAGAATGTATATACAGTAATGAATATATGTCCTTAGCCAGTATTTATATAATATTAATGTGACGGGCTAATACATCGCTCGGCTACCACCCACCGAGTTCCACGTGGTGTAATACCCACTCAGATAAGCTCTATGTGTACCTAAACCTGTTATAATGAATGTGTGCTTCAGCTAAGCTGAGATCTTCAACCTTTATGTAAATGGTGGTTGAGATTCAATGAACCTTGCCTACAGTGCCTTTCTAAAATGTTTCTGCACGAACCAAAAATACTCGTACACTAATAACACAAATGGTAAGGTTGGTATCATAAAGCTTGAGTTTACAAATGTTAAGATAATAAAAATGAATAATTGTTGCTAAGTATACAAAAATATGTTTCACTTATATAAGAAATTTGTTTTTAATAATTTTTATTTTTATTAGAACTTATAATGAGTTTACTGAGCATTGACTATTGGTTTTATGTATTTATAAATCATGAATTAAAATTTACATAGAAAGGTTAAATGTTCATGGGTTGGCAACGTTTTTTAGGGAAATGGCTAGTAACTTTATAATTGTCTGGCCTCATCTAGTAACCCTTAACTTGCTCTTATCCTGGCACAGCAAAATTAATCTGTTCTGTGTAGAAAAATAAAAATAAAAATACTCAACATTATGAAGGTGTGCATGGACACAGATCTAGTACTAGGTGTGAAGATATTGATGAATGTGTATGCTGAGCATAATAGTATATGCTAGTGTCAATATGACGACCTACAGTTTATCAGCATTTCCTGATCATCTGTAGCTACTAAGATTAGTCATTCACAACTAGAAGAAGTTCAGTTTGTTTAACCAATGTCAAAATTGTCAGTTTATTTTATTAGGAATAGTCCCATATATCATGTATTAAATTTAGAAGTAGAAAGCAATAGGATATGTATACAAGAATAACATCATAGATAGGGGGTTAATTAAAGATCTCTCTTGGCTATCTGCAAAGCGTCAAGGAGATTAATAACAGCTTGTGTTGTATAACATTCACATTATTGAGCCTGTATTATATAGATGTGCATCTATCTACGCTTAATCTGTACGTGCAGAACGTAGTTTCATACGATACTCATTGGATACAGCTTGTGTATTTGTAGTGTCTACGACCTGCGTAGGTACGTCTTGGACGTTTTGGTTGTCATTTTGTGCAGACGTAGAGTCTACTGCTTGTGTAGGAACGTCGTGTACCATGGTGGGAAGCAAGTCAGGGCTCACCTTTTTTAATCTGTCCACGTGTACTACGTTGGTAATTTGTGTATCTGGTTTAAGTATTTTGAATTTGTTACCGTGCTCTTTGGCAATTATCAGGAAGGGTCCTGAAAATGTCGACGAAAGTTTAGAGATTCTTTCAGGTTCTCTTATCATGACAACGTCGCCTATTTCTAGCTTGATAGGCTTAGTCTGTTTATGTTGCTTGTAAATCATTTCAGTGCGCGATGCTGCTAATTGTTTACGGACTTTTCCATGGATGTCAGTGAAGACATTGATTTGTTTCTTTGCATAATCATCCATGTTATATACAGGTTGTGTAGGTCCTGTAAGTATGTCATAGGGTAATCTTTTATCGGGCCCATATATGATATAGCAAGATGCTTTGCCTGTGAATCTATTTATTGACCCATTTATTGACGATGATACTTGAGGTAACCAATCCTCCCATGCTACCTGCAATGGATTCACTATATGTCTGAAAATCTATAGGATTTTGCGATTGGTCCGCTCAACTAGGCCATTCGATTGTGGGTGATAAGCTGCTGTGAAGTTTTGTTGAATGCCGTATTGTTGGCATATGGTTGCAAGAAGTTGATTCTTAAATTCTGATCTGTTGTCGGATAGAATAAACTTTGGTGTAGTGAACGGACATATGAGATGCGTCACTAAAGCGTGTGCCACAGTCTCCGTGGATTTATCCTGCAAGGGGACTAAAATCACACATCTGGAGAAGTGATCAACACACACATGTATGTAGGTGGAGCCTTGATGGCATTTTGGCAGTTGCAATAAGTCGATTGCGACTGTGTCGAATGGGCGTTCAGGCGTTGGGTATTCGAGAATTGGAGCAGGTTGCATCGTGGTTCCCTTGTGTTGAGCGCAAGATAAACAATTAGCAATGTGTCGCTCGATGTCCCTTTTCATTGTACTCCAATAGTAGGATTTTCTTATTTCTGCAAGGCATTTGTCACGCCCTGGATGGCCTGCTTTTTATAATCCTGCCTTTGGTGTTGGTAGTCCTGCCTGTATTGACTTACACAATCCTCTGAACTGTGTGGTCTAGATTGATGTAGTAAACACCACTGGTCACTTTTGGGTTCTGCAGCATTGTAAGTCCTGCTTACTGCACTTGAATTTAACTTTTGATTTTGATTTTTGAAGTTGCTTTTCTTGGCTTTGTTAAGCTGATAGGTATTACCGTCTTGTTTTGCATAATAACAGTCTTCAGTCGTATGATTCTGTTTCTTGCAAATTTTACAGACAGTTTTTTGTTTAGGCTTGGTACCTGTTTCTTTATGAATCTTAATTGGTGCTGTTGCCACCGGTGCAATGGCTCTAGCAAGTGGTGTGCATGGGGCTCTCTGTACTATCTTTTCTGCATAATCTGTGAGTTCGTCTGACTGAGGGTAATTTTCCTTTTGAGCTTGCTTAAACTCTACTTCTTGAAGAAGAAATATAAATTGGATATACTCGACGAGAAGAAACACTTGTTCCTCACTCATTTTACAGTCCTTGTCAAACCAATCAGAGCCGGAGAAGTGTGCTTTCACATCGTCATAAGCCTCCCCCGCTATAGACTGTGCCATAAAGTATCCTGTGTTTTGACTCGCGGTGGTTCTGTTTACCATTCTAAAACCCATGAGATGACCGTCAACTCTGATCAAAGAAGCATACCAAATTTCTTTAAATCATCATATTTGATCGAGTAAAGCCGTAGCATTAGGGGTGACTGCACGACACCCCGTTTAATGTGACCACAGACGAATGCTTTACGATCCTCGTCATCTCAGACATTATTATGTCTCATCACATCCTCACATGCTTGCATCACTGGGTTAGTCATGTTAGTGGTTAGAGGTTTACTAGTTAATTGAAATGCTGGTAAATTACTAGCATGCATTAGAGGATGCCAATACACTATAGTCAGGTGTAGTGTCAGAGGTAGGTTCACTATACAGAGGTGTAGTGTCGTAAGAACGTCCTGACCTAAGTTGTGTAAATAATAATTCGTTATTTGTTTTATCTATAACTGTTTCACTAACT